GAACAGTAACAACATACACAATGACCTGAAGTATATGTGTGTTCATTCAAAGAAAGGTTTTCCTATGAATTAATTAGAGAAGAGTCCATTTTTATGGGCATTATGTGTCTGTTTTAGAAAGACTTGAGTAAGAGTTGATTCTCTCTACATACTTTTAGGTCGTAAAAGTTTATCTGGCTGAGGGGTCCTGGTTGCCATGGTAACCAGGGGCCTGAGGTCGTTCCCAGACATGCTGGCACCCAGTATGTTTATTGGGTGAGGGGTCTGTGATTATTTGTTAATCTAATGAATAATTAATTTGTTAAATCTAATGAACAAATGTGTGTCTGATTGGTCCAAATGCTACAGTATGTATAAAGCGTCTGCTAAATGACTAAATGTAAATGTAATCCAAAAAAAAAAGCCTTTGGCTTGAGGGGCTGTGAGGTTTGGAGAAGGCCTTTGAACACCTCTTTTAGAGATCCACTCTTCACTCTGCTCACAGCTACATGAGAGATAACTTTATAAGCTGATAACGCAACATCATAATGACCTAACACTCCTTTGGTAATTAAGAAATGATAAAATGCAAACATGATCTAGGATGACAACTTCTACTATTTGATGGCTTTATCCTTCAGTAATTCAGAAGCAACTGAAAAATTGTACATCCAGCAGAAACTCTTCAGCTGAAATTAAATCTCATCAAGAACAACAACAGCTTCATAGTAAAGCAAACAGTTATTCTGGATGAATTGTAACTGGGCCGACTGTTCCTAACAAGGGCCCAATGGTTCTAGGTTCCTCAAGTTTTCCTAGGACAAGTTTCCTTGCCTTTATCATTATCTGTATAGTTAATGAATCTATATAGAACAAATTAGCTATATTTAATATTTTATATTTTAATAGCTATTTTTAACCATACTAAAAAATGGATAAATAAATTTAAATTAAAAATAAATTAAATAAAGTAGCTATTTTTAATGAATTATTATTTTCTCGCATGCAGTTCAGAGGTCAGCTATGAGCATAATTGCAGCGGCAATGCACTTTCATATCACTGCTTACATAATTACTATAGTTTGGCTGTTTCCTAAAATATTAACACAGATTTTTTTAAAAACATAGATAGTTACAACAATTGTTGTTTACTTATTTTATGCCCATAATATATTTTTGTTATATTAGTCCTTATAGTAATTAAAAAATTAATAGTAAATATTTGCCTTGTACTCTGCCAGACATGGACACTTACTTTCTTTCACAGAAATCTCATATATTTTGTCTTTATATAGAATGATGTTCCATAAACAAATGCAGATAATTAATTAGAATAAATATTTTATAGGAAGGTTCAGTGGTGTTTTAATGGTTAAACATGTTACATTGCAATATTTTTTATTGACATTTATTGTATTCATAATTAATATAAATACAATTTGACCACAAACTGATGGTTTTTATTTTGATAGTCATCATAACAGTTATAAATCATCAGGGAGCATACAGCCAACACTTGCTATTTCATGGGAGCCATGTTATTTTTCCAGATCTGTTGTGAATATGCAATGCTCAATCAGTATGATTTGATCTTAAGCTTTGGAATACATTTTTTACTTTAGTCCTAATAGGAGTTAGTATAATTCCATATATTATAGGATTAACCAGAGGTGGAATGATCAAAAAAGAAACTGACAAGAAATGTTTAAAACCCTGAGGTAGACTGCCAGTTCCAAACAGCTCATATAGTGTATTAAAAAGAAACCAGACCACATAGTTCAAAAAGGCTACCAAATGTGGCAGACATGTGGCTATAAACTTCTTGTTGCTTTGAACAGAGCGCTTACAAGCGATCAGTATTTTTATACAAGACAAAAACACAAACCATACCAGAGCATTAATAGCACAAGTTAATATTCCATTAACCGCAAACTGAGCAGTGTCCACCCCGCAGGCAAGTCTCTCCAAGACCCAGTTTTCACAGTACAGTTTGTTTATCTGATTCATGCAAATGGGAAACCTGAGCGTCATCACTATTATCAGTATTGCAGTGCAGCAGGGAAACATCCAAATGAAAGTCAGCAGCCTCCAAACAGTGATGGTTGTCATGACAGTATGGTAGTGCAGAGGTCTGCAGATTGCTAAGTATCTATCAAACGCCATTATGCACAGATTGGTAAATTCACCTATTGCATAGGTGAAAATGGCAAAGCTTTGGATGGCACATTCTTTCAGAGAGATTACATTGGTTTCATTTAGTAAATAATACAGCAGGGGTGGATAAAATCCTGTGGCTCCATATAATCCATTTATACATAAATTGCACAAAAATATATACATAGGCTGGTGGAGAACTTTCTCCAGAACAATTATGCAAATCAAGGCTGCATTTACAACAATGGTCACTAAATAGCCTGGGAGGGCAAAAGAGAATGCAGTGATCCTGCTGGTGCCATTCAGAGCTATGAGAGAGAAAGAGGAGAAGGAGGAGATGTTGTCCATTCCACTTGACAAACTAATGCAGATCAGACACAAATGCAAAAACAAAAGCATCTTAGGAAAAGTACAATCATAATCAATTCTTATATCACACTTTCTCAAATGCATTTTCTTTTTGTATACACACATTGTGGTGAGCGTATTTACAGTCAAACACTTTGTGCAGCATAGAAAATCCTTTGATGAGAAAACTAAAAAAAAAGTTCTCCAAAAGAATTGTGTTTGTACCTGAAAAACTAAAAGAGAGTGTTAAAAATGTTGAGGTGTTCCGGAAAGTCCTTCCGTTCTGTGCCCTGAGGGAGATTTCCTAATGCTCAGTTCATCATTTCAGTTTGATGCTTCTTTATACTGAAAACTGTTATTTGTTATCATATTATTTTAATGTATTGTAGTAATTTTAAATATTAATTTGCACTTTGTAATTTTTTAAGTTTATTACCTGTAAGCGGCTAGTGAATCAAAAGTCTCACATAATAACTAAGGTGATGTCACTTCATTATTATTGTCTTAGCTTTTTGTTTTATTGCTGATGTACTTTAGCAGAAAAGCACCTGCTAAGTAAATACATGCAGAATGAACATTTTTAGATATGAATTAAATATCTTTAATACAGTGTGATGATTTTTTAAACACTTTAAACACCATATTTCATTATTTATTTTTATTAGTAGTAGTTTTTATTTTAATTATATTATAGTTTCTGTTGATTATTATAATCTGTTGATTATCTTTATTTTATATAAATGGAGTCTATGGCAGCCCTATGAGCCATACATAGGAAAATGATCAAATTTGGCACATTTATTGAGGTGGTCTTCAGTAGTAATCTGACCAATTTTGGGGTCTCTAGGACCAAATATATCCACAGTAGTTTTATTGTAACAGTGGGCACAGTCATTTGTAACTTGAATGTGTGAGGTTTCTGTCATTCACTTCCAGTTCTTTTTAGCTATACGAAACAGTTTGATGCTTCTTTATACTGAAAACTGTTATTTGTTATCATATTATTTTAATGTATTGTAGTAATTTTAAATATTAATTTGCACTTTGTAATTTTTTAAGTTTATTACCTGTAAGCGGCTAGTGAATCAAAAGTCTCACATATTTAGAGGAAATACCTTACTTCTGTATCGCAAAATAAAGTGAATAGTGCCCCCATTATTACTACTACTCCTTCGATTTTTGATATTCATCATTGTTCAAAAGTTATGATATCCATATTGGATGAGAGGCTGTATCTTGGCCATGCAAAAAAAGTCGTGCTCAAAAAAAACAAACAAAAAAAAATCAATGGCCAAGCTCAGGAGTTTTCGTTAAATACATTCATTTCAGTTTGTTTTTCAACAAACCCTGTTGTTTACCCCCGAATATCTGTATTATATGACAGGTGTTGCATAGGATCATTATGTGATATTTTTGCACATAGATCTTCAACCCTGCTTCTGGGGACCCACTGTGCTGCAGAATTTATCTAATCAAACACACCTGAACCAGCCAATCAGGGTCTTCAGGATCACATGAAAAATCACAAGCCTGGGGCAAGTTCAAGCTCAAACCGATGTGCACCGTTTTGCTACGGTTTCCGGTTTGAACGACATGTTTCCTGGAAACGGTGTGCAACGGTGTGCAACGGGCAGGGTGAGGACCTCGTTTTTTGTGCCTTTTTTAATTATTATTTTATTTAAGTAATTAAAGTGATACTCCACTCAGAAATGAAAATTCTGTAAGAAAAATTATAAACTATAAACCACTGCTTCTGGCTAACTGTCATATGTGTGTTCGCTTGATATAAACAACAGGTCACTGTGACGGTCCTCTGTGCTTCTGCGTTACTACTTGTGCAGACGGTTGGCCGGAAGCAATAGTTTATAGTTTGAAAAGTTTAAAATATTCATATTTTTTCCAACACACCTATCATATTTTGATTAATCAACGGTTTTTGTGGTTTCTGAGACAAGAGTCCTACTGTGAAATACATAAGCGCTTTACTTTTGGGTTGCTTGAAGGCAGAGTCTACCCAAAAATAAAAATTCTGTCATTTCCTCCCCCTCAAGTCATTGCAATTTTATTTTATTTATTTTCTTTTCAGTGGTACATAAAAGATGATATTTTGAAGAATGTTGGTAACCAAACAGTTTCGGTTCACATTAACCTTACTGCATGGACAAAATATACAGTGGACGTCAATAGGAACTGAAGCTATTTGGTTACCAACATTCTTCAAAATATCTTCTTTTGTGTTCTGCAGGAAAAAAAACTCATGTTTGTAATGAAATGAGGTGAGTAAACGATGACAGAATTTTCCCTTTAACAACCTTCTCTAAGTCTCTAAACAAGTCTCTTTAAGTCTCTAAACAATTTCAGGGTCTTTCAAGGTCAGTATGAGAACACAAAACCTAATACTTTCAACATTTGTTTCAGAAACATTGAGTTACAATGACGTCAGAATGCTAAATGTAATTTGAAATTTAATTTGAATTGGAAGTGACTGTCTTTGTTTCAATTCTGTTTTTCCAAGATGATGTTGGTGATGACAGTAATAAATTTACTGGTTAAAAGATTCATTCATTCAATTACTACAGAATTCTGTGAAGAAATACTATCTGTAGAGACCTCATGTAAAGATGTAGGTTGATACAAAGGCTGTTAGAGTTTTTAGTAAAGAGTTTATTTCTAGTAAAAATACATTTTTATATAAGATAGTAATTCTAAAATACTCTATTAAATGTTATAGTCATTTAGATGTACAGTGTTCCAATATGGCAATCATACAACTTGAAGTACTGGATGAAATACAACATGCTTAGGCTGGGTGTTCACTAGATTCACAACAGATATAGTATATATATATATATCACAGTTCGTGCATAAATCACACCACACCAGAAATGCTTGTTAAGAACACACTCTTTATGAATTTTTTTTATTTTTTTTGTGCATGTATGAGGTTTAGTACAGAATTAAGTTGTGGATTTTTTGTGAAAAAAATTCTCTTGATGCACATGATACACATAAAGTAAAAACTCTTGTGCGCACTACTGTAATATTTAACCCATAGATTAGAGGATTGAACACAGGCGGAACTATCACCAGTTCTAGAGCCAAAAAATTTCGCAAACTCTCTGGAATGTCATTTGCACCATATCTGCTATACATGATATCAAAAAGCAAAGCAATAGTGAAATTTATCAGTGATAATATGTGTGGGAGACATGTTTGCCAGAATTTCTTTCTGTTTTCTAAAGATGCTTTACATGCAGAGATCAGTTTAAAGTAGGAAACTATGATAAGAACTAAAAAGCTAAAAAATATAACAGTAATAGCATATCCAAAGACATTATTAACAAAAGATGATACACAGGCCAGCTTTACAACTGACCAGTTGTCACAATATAATTTGTCAATGTGATATTTACAGATAGGTCTTAAGTTTGATAACAGGACTGCTGTAATGCAAATGCAGTTGGGAACAATCCATGAGAACAGAATTAATTTCACACAGGTGTTTTTAGTTAATTTGGAATGATAGTCTAAAGGTTTGCATATGGCTACGTATCTATCATAAGCCATCACTGTTAATATTGTGATCTCAGAAAGTAAAGAGCTATAGATAACATAGGTTTGCAGGGAACACATATGAAAGGAAATCACATATGAATCCAATATTAAATCAGACAAAATTTTAGGGTAGAATCCTGAGGCTCCATAAACCCCATTTATACACATATGACACAAGAATATGTACATCGGTTCATGAAGAGCTTTCTCCATGATAATGACCATAACAAGACGAATATTAATTGATAAGATAAGCACATATAATGCAAGAAAACAAATAAAATATACATGCCTATATGATTTAGTTTCTTTTGGCACCATAAGTGTCAGTATCACAGGGTAAGACATGTTATCCATAACGGTATATAGATGATCCCTCAAATCACATGAAACAAATGACAACGCAATGCAAATTGCAAACAATATTAATAAACATTTAAAACAGTTTACAACTCATTAGGCTTCAATATCCATCCACTGCTTGCTGCAGGAATGACAGTGAGAGTATCTTACAAATAAACAGATTCAGAGCTGTTTGTGATATCAACTGAATTTTATGAGGTCTGGTTGGTTTTTATACGTTTTTTTATCATTAGGGATGTCTGTAAGAGATGTTCTGAAATCTCTTGGGTTTAATTATTCGCTGATGGAAAAAAAAATTAAAACACCTTATTCATACTCACACTTTATTAATTTTTAAAAATGTTTGTGCATGACATTTTCTAGCATGATACTGCATCTTTATGTTAATATGGTACTAAATAGATTAATAAACTACATATTCAAAGTATTTGTGCATCCTCTTAACCCTCTGGGCCTTTTCGTTTGGGAGTCACACTTGGCTCCTTCGCCGTCAAAAGTGACTGAAGCCTCAAAAAGTAACTTTTTTTTCAGGAAAATCAATCTAATACATTTTTGTTCAATAATATTTTTCAATTCTTATTTAGAATTTTGAGGGAATTTTATGATACTATGCAATATTTATAAAATTTTAATTAGCTCTTTTTTCCATTAGAATTAATATATATATTTATGTATTTCTTCGTTTCTGTATTATTTTTTAATAAATACAATATTTCACATTAAAATAGAGTGAAGGCATTTAAAATCCATTTTTTGAAGTGAAAATTGTGCCATCTGGAGGGTGTTAAAAAATAAAAACTTGTGTAATGTTGCGTAACCTCCTGTATAGCTACCTATATCAATATATACAGAGGCTTTTGGATTCCCGTTGTTTTTTAGACATAATTTCTTCATTTAATCAGGTTTTGCATTTAGATATATATTTAGACATTATAAAAGACTATGTTTTGTCAAGGTTTAGATATTTTTGGTTAGATAAGTATCAGGTTCTGTGTGTATGTGTGCGTGTGGGTGTCTATTTTACACGCTTGATATTTTAGAGTTTCACCCCTTGATTGCTGCACACTTTTTTTCTGCACAGT